TGCCTACTACTCATGTGCCTCTATGAAGTGAAAACATCACAAAAACTGTCATATAAAAGGTGGTATGTTACAAAAACCAACCCATGGCAATTAGAAAGAACCAAAATATTTGATTTATTTAAGTCTCATTTATCGCTATGGGTATCCCTTCCACCGCTTTTTATTTTTTATTAATCGAGGCCATATGGTTGTCCTGAAGGGTCCATTTTCATTTTTATAAGCTTGTGTTTTGATAAAACGTCAAGAAATAGAAGAACTGGGGCCGAGACAACAATACAGTTGTGTTGTCCATAAATAGTAACAATGAAAGGTGTTATAAAAATAAACACATAAGTATTTACATGAAAAATGTTTGGGACAAGAGTCCGGTAACTTTAAACCACTTGAAACCCCTACAGTTTTCTGTAGGCATTTCTAGCAGCAAAAAGGATTGGACCTTGGCTCTCCAAAGCCAAAAACTAGACGGGATTCTTCTTCTCCCAGAACATGTCCATGTGAATCAGTCTTAAGCCTTAGCAGTGTTTCACATTCCAAAACCACTTTAATCACATTAATTGATGTTGGCAAGTGTCGATGGCATATGTTTGGTGGAGCTATCCAAGAAGGTCATCTCAAGTCTTCCAGTCTCCTCCAATTTTATCCACAACTCAGAATGGTGTGCTGGATGATATATAAAGCCCATCTGAGTTCCAAGTTGTGTATTTCAAGCTTTACAATGACTTTGTCCCAACTCCAGGAGAACCTCGTCATTGCAGACTGAACACGGCATCCTTTGTCTGTAGACTTCAGTTGTCTGACCAGAAACGAATCTTGGCCATGTAAGACTTTCTCAAGTTTGAGGGTATACCCCAAGGCAGCTCAGATAAGGATCTCTACCATTTCAGAAGCATTGGAGCTTTTAGCAGAGGACATGGTTTCTGGAAGAAAAATGAAAGAAAAGAAAAAGCGTTATAAGTAAACGGTAGATCCAGGAAAAATGCATGTTATAACTGCAATAAGACAAGTGGATAGATTAACTACAGCAACCAGATTTTGGCTATTCTTTTAGGGCAGACTAAAATGGATTTGTTATCAGGCAACACACTCACTATTTTCAACATAGGCTTGAACGGCCCTGAATCAGCAGGTTGCAATACCACCCTAACATGTGCTTAAAGTGGCCTCTCAGTTTAATACTACTGGATGTAATTTCAGCACACCTTAAGTGATATGTAGTTTTCTATAAGTGTCATTGCAGAATGATGAATCAGGACCACTGTGTTACGTTTTAAACGTCAAAATATTCCCAATACTCAGCACACAAACTTTAAGTGAAGTATTTAATTATCATGCTAAAGTATTTCACTTCCACATTAGTAAGATTTCAGTCGAATGCTCAATATCTTAACTGCTGTAATACTTAATTACAATAACAAACTGGTCATATTAAAACGATAATAATAATTCAAAGTATTAAACTGATGTGCTAATTACAGGCATCGCTATCATTTCATATGTATTTGACACACGCCATATTGTAATATTTGAGATGCCAGCATAGGAATAGCAATAGACTGACAGACATTAATATAAAGTCTCCGAACACCCTGTCAGGCTCATAGCAAATTGTTTTAGCATGACTGGATTATGTGCCTAGCTGTAGATTTGTACTCGCATTATTTCTTCCTCTGATTCAGACCTCACAAAGGCCTTTGAATATATATGAGATGAAACAATCATGTGACCATCCAGTATGTGGACAAATAATACATGAGTGAATTCCACAGAGTGAACTATAACAAGTATAGACAGTGTGTCTGCTTGTACTGTGGAAGATTGTATCATCGCCTGTGATAGACAGAGTGATGCATCCAGTGCTTCTGGGCATTTACATTGCCCTACTATGTGTCGACATCTTAAAAGGAGTATGTGGGGTCACAATGGCCCGTTTTCATTGGTTGAGGGGGAGGACATTCCAAACATGCCTGTGGCTTTGGATGGTAAGCAGATATGCTGCATCTTCTCAGAAAGAAGCAAATGGTGATGTGAAATTATGGCGGTGGTTGAGTTACTTGGGTAGTGGGAAATATGAGTCGGCCAAAAGGCTTCCAACATTTATTGTTTTTTTATACATGGAACTATTCTGAGAAGGTTGGATACCGTAGAAGAGGAATGCTCAATCATGTTATCTGGGGACTAGTGTGTAAGCAGGTTAGATCTCAAAAGAAAAGGTCCCTATTACCCCAAAATTGAAGGAAAGGTGTTGTGACTAGTAAGATGTCTCCTTTCATTTCTAACCTGCCCTGTTTGGGCCCCAATTACTGCTAAATGTAATTGTGTATTTCTTGAAAAAAAATGTTTTAAATACCAGTAAAACTATTTTTGTAAAAAATATTGGAGATTGTCATATCTATTAATCACATCTCTTCTTTTTTACCTTATCTGACTGGTAGGTCGGCATTAACAGTCCTATTTCCGTAGCCCCATTTACATAAACCAGACCTGAAATTTCTATTTTCTTTTTAACATTTGATCAATATCTGCCACTATACGGCAGCACGGCTTATGTTAGCTCTCAATCAATCTCATGATCTTTCTTTCATACGCTAGCAATGCTCCCTTCCCCCTTCCTTGCAGTCTCTTGGCCTCACACCTGCATTCTGTTCCCAGTTGCATAGCTGAGATTCATTGAGATTAGTCATCACCAAGGGAGGCCAAGCCTTGGCAGGGATTGTGTGAGGAGAAAGCTCTCAGCTATGCAGGGCTCGGCACTGGCTCAGCCTGGGGGAGGGGAGGTGAGCGAGTGCAGCTTTTGCCATTGCGAAACATTCTCTAAACATCAGCCTTCACTCACTAGTCGGAGAAAAGGCACCCGTCCTACCTACTCATCATCCAGACTTGTTTTAGCTAGGAATTAGTAATGAGCTGGTACCCAGGGGCAGTGTTTGTAAGCGGTGTTTATTGGGAGAAAACGCAATGTTTACTGTTTATGTTTCTCCGAAATCGTGTGTGGTCAAAACACACCTACTACTTATATTCATATAGTGTTTCATGGGAACTGACATTTCTGGTACGAAGTATGAAAAGTCAGCAATGCCACAGCCACCCAATTTGATGTAAATATTTTCAGGTTTTCTAAAAAAAAATGCACATCTGTTGTACTTAATAAAGACTAGACTGCCCAACATTATTTCCTCATGAGACATCATGTTGGGTAGTTACTCATATCAACCAATCAAGTTCAACTTCTCTAGTAGAAGTAAAAAGAAGACTGTGAGGTCTACGGGTAGCAAAGATAACTCTTTCCGACAGGAACAATGACACCCCAAAAAGATGTGGTCCTTACCTAGTGAGGACGAGGTGTTCCTGTCCAGAATGCAGTCTGTCACACTTGTCTGGTCTGTTGAATACTCTGTCTGGGTGCTACCATCTTTACTGCCATGCTTGGTGTGAACGGGCAAGGTGCTCATGTTGGCAGATGTTGATTTACTTACTGGAGGGAATTAGAAAGAAGAACAATTAAGCATTGCCAAAAGGACATCACAAAAACGTGTTATCCATCTCATTAGACATAATCTGCTGTAATCACCTGGTGCTCCTTGTGAAGTATTGTTCACTTGTCTTTCACCAGCTGCTGAGTTTGAGCTTGGCACAGATGGAGTGAATATTGAGGGCACTGACTTAGCAGGTCGCAGGAGGCCCTGGTGAGGTTTACGTTGCTGTAAGACTTTAATGACTGCATCCTTCTCCAGTATCTGTGCATGCAGAGCTTTGATTCTATTAATAAAACAACAGAACACAGGTTAGAAAGGAAAAAAAAATACAGTAGAAGTACATGATCAGAACAAAGTCAACAGTTATACAGAAAATAGTGGATCAGACCTACCTGTTCTCCATTTCTTGGTGCCTGTGGCTGACTATTAGCAGGTCCTCATTGAAGCTATTGTTTGGCGAATGGCGGGGTGAGTGGTTGATGATGGTAGTGTCTCGCTGAGCGGCTGCAGTGGCTGCAGCATCCATGGCAAACTGGCGCATAGTACGTTCTTCCAAATACTTCTGTTCCCACTTGGTCATGTCGGCCTCCAGAGCCAATATCCGTTCTTCCTTCTCCCTCAGCTGCTCAGAAAGGACATAGACAGAGACTTCTGGAGAATGGCTTCCATTTTGCATCATTGGTTGCCTCTGTTAGAAAAGTAATTGGAGTGAGTTTTTGGGTCATGTGGAATAAAAAAAACATGCAATAAATGTATGACACCAAGTGGTGGCATGCAACTCACCTGCTGAGCCCTTAAGTTTTTCAACTCCTGCTCCAATCTCGTCCGCAGACGCAATTCCAGTTGTTCCCTCTTCTCACAGGCAGCCTGGAGCTGGCTTAATGCCTGCTGTAGTCTTTCCACTTTTTCCACATACGCCCTCTTCTTGCGCAGCTCATCTTCAGTGCGAGCGGCTGTGAACTGGGCATTACTCAGAGCCTTTTCCAGGAGCTCTGCCCTTCGGCGCTGGTCCTCATTGGCACTTCGTAAGAGGCTAACCTCTCTATCTAACTTCTCTTTATCTAGCTGCTGTTCACGGCCTGTAATGAAGAATGGGAAGGTCATTAGCAACTTCATACCTCTGTAGGTGCATATACATCAATATATAAATATAAAAGTTTCATATTGGCTCCTCACTTGCTAGTAATATCCTGAGTTGTTAACACATTTGGTGAATGGATATGAAGTATCGGTATCTTTACTATGCCAGCTAATATTTCTCACTACACATGCTTTAGATTTAATTTCAGCATGGCTTCACATCTTAAAGTGCACCTGTCGGCCATTCTGTGCAACCACAGTCAACTAGCATATTAGCTGTTCCTAGTGAATTTATAGGTCAAGGTCATTACTTATTCACAGTGAGTGGTGAGTCTTTCAGTTTAGGGTTCAAGCAATGAAGCTGTTTCTGGTGGGAAGATCATTACAGAAACAAACATACACCCAAGAAACAAACAAAACGGCTGCAAATAGAGCAGCCATAATATGCCTAAGAGGTTTTGGAATGATGCTTTTAAAAACGTCACTCCATTCACAAAAGAAATGACCAGTGAGGTTCTGAACGATCAGCAAACACGATGAAGGGATCCATTCAGTATCATAAGCTGTGTACATAACCAAGAGGCCTATGAGATTTGGAGGTGTTTGCAGGAGCTTTGTGTGTGTGTAGAATGACCTAAAGAAGAGTATTTTTAAGAGTATGTTAAACTTGACTGCTCCTGTACTGTTCCATGAAAAGGTTAAGCAAACATGCAGGTTCCCAGGCTTGGAGCAGTAAGATAGCTGGAACATGACAGCTCAAGGATGTATATCCTGGTAAGACCAGTTCTCCCTGGTGGTGGTTCCAACTATCCCAGCAAGGAAATACACTAGAACTTCAGTTTATTGTGAGTGTGTGTATAAGGCATCAGGAATAATACACATTAGCTGAGTGTAGATTCCAAAGAATTCAGAAACCCAAACCCTAATGGATAGGTTGAATATGTTTAACTACTGGCCCGCTATTCTATCATTGGCCACAAAGAATAGGAGGACTTATGTGTCTGGTGACATGATCTGGAGATCATCTATTTTCCAACATCTGGCTGCTTTCTTAGGCTAAATTAGCTGACTTACATTTATATAGCTTTGTATTACTACCATATATAAAAAGTGTTAACAGCACATAGTCAAAGACACAAAATGTTCTACATTATATCTATAATTTACCAGAGGTGTATATCAATGTGTGCAGTAATTTAGTAATTCACAATTATAGAATGATATGCTATACTATTCACAATTTGTTTTCATTTGTTTTAATGTTTATATTATATTTAGCACAGTTAAAAAAAAAGTCCTATCCTGTTAACCCATGCAGCACTGATGTCGTACTTTTTTCTCTGCAGTCTTCTTTCCCCCTTCCTGTGAAGAAAAGGAGGGGGCTGGGCAGATCAGCTACTGGAATGTGAAGAATTCAGGTCACATTGAACTCTGTTTGTTTGCTAAAGCAACATAATCTTTTCTTCAGGAAGCAGAGAAAGGACACACCTCCCCTGCATCCTTCAAGGTGCGTTAGGTCAAATCCCACGTACACAGCTCATGCAAAAAGATGTTTGTTTATTGAGTCAAATAAACCCGGTATTATGCATTTTAACTGTATTATGACTGGTAGGGCCAATCACACCACAAGAATTAGGTAATCCTTCTTATCATAGAGTGTATGTCGAGAAAAGGAGAAAACTTTTTTTGTTTTCTTTAAACGTAATCGAGTTCTCTGTGTTTAAAGGGCTTATAAATCTAAACATGTAGCCTGAAACATTTACAAAAATTACCGGGGACTAATCCAAATTAAAAACGGCCAAGAAAGAGAGCTATTATTATGGGGAGCACTATTTTGTGATACATAGGGGTCACGTTGAGATATTGCACTGAAGCACACTCTTTAGCCTAAGATAGCCATGAACTGACCTATATGCCCTATACAGAAAATACCCATTACGAATGATGTCTTATGCTAGAATAACCTTCAAGTATATGATCATGAATGTTTTGAACCTCTTAAAGCTGGCCATACACTAGTAGATTTTTGTACATACGAAATATTTCATGAGAACATTTAATAATGCAATCAGAGAATGACGATTGTCTTTCAAAATTTTGCTCGATTTTAACATAAACATTTTGGAATGAATGAATGAGTTCCCCGAATGCAAACCACATTCACTGTTGGAATTTCCATCCTGTTCCTTCGATTCTTTCATCAGTACAGTAAAAAAAAAAAAAACATCATCAATTTGACCCCATTAACTACTAAAAATTTGAATTAATGTTTCAAAAACATTTTTTTCTAACACAATTCTACTGGTGTATGGCCACTACTGTATTCATGTGGATTTACTGGCCCGGTTAATAGTCCAGTCTCAAAAGTAATAACTTACACTGAGCAAGCAGTTTGGATACAGTTCCTTGACTGTCTTCCCTTTGCTCCATATTCCGGACTGCTAGTTGTTTGTTTGCAGTTTCCAGCCGTTCTAAAAAAAAAAGACAACACAAAATGATTACAGGATAGGTTGACTCTATGCAGCTCTCTACTGACATGGCCTGATTTCCAAAATAACCTCTCCATTAAATGGGGTATTCTGGGATGTCTTCTTTTGGATATGATTTTAAGAAATTGCAATTAACTATAATGCTGATGAGCTATATAGGTTAATGAGTTTTGTCAGGAAAGCTCCATTGTTGTCCCCGGGCCCCTGCTGTTCGGTATCTCTTGCTACATGGCTGTTTAAGACCTTGATGCTCTTAAGAGATAGAGTCCGCTCACTTAAGCCTAATATCTGTTGTAAAGGGCTAACGCTGATTGATAGCTTCACCAGAGCGTACTATTGTTGTAAAAGCTCCTCCTCTGTGCTAGAGATTCCTCACCTCTTAGGTCACGGTTGAAGTCCTGCATGCGCCTCATCTCTCCTTCCATCTTGGTCCTCATGGCACTCTCAAGGGACTCCCGCTTAGAGGATGCTTTCATGAGATTCTCATATGCTTCGGAAATTCGCTGAATTTCAGTCTCCAGCTAAAAAATCATAAAATGAATGTCAAGATTATTGGGATGTTGATGATATGGCATAAAGAGCTTTATTTATGAACAAAGAAAATGCATGTACTTAGGGCATACCTCAGAATGTATGTATCTGTAAATTTAATTATAATAAATTTAATTTTGTTGAATTGCCATAAGACATAGAAAGCTATTACTCTTTGTGTCTTGTTATTAAATAATATCTGATTTGTTACAACATATCATCACACTTAGATTAATTGTCATCAATTTTTTAAATGTGGTGAAATAATTCCAGCTCTAAGTAAGAACACCTTAAAAAATAAGATCCCATATACATATTGGTCAAGTACCAGTATATATCTATTGTAATCAGAGCCAACTGCTTGGAGTAACTATCATATATAATTTTCCTAACCACAAATGTGTACACATTCAAGCAATATACTTTCAGTTTAATAGTTGATTTTTCAACTCTGGCAAATGCCATGGTAAGCTATGGTATTGCTTACATTTAAACACTGTCTGCAGACTCAATGCCACCTGCTTGTCTGGACTGCACATTTGCTAAAGGCTGGACCCCCTCCCCTCTCTATTCCTTACAGCTGAGGCCTTCCTAACACAGCCACCTTTTCATCCCTACACAATGGCTCATTGATGCAGCATCAGGTCAGCTCAAGCAGAGCACAAAACCCGAGCAACTGTCAGTGGCCCTGAGCTCTACGTGTGCCTCTAACAAATGTCTCATAGCCGGGCCATTGTGCGAAGATCCCTCGCAGCTGTTAAAGGGGAGACTATAGGGAAGAGGGGGGGGGGGGCAATGAAAGTGAAAGAGATGACAAAAACTAAAGACACCCCACCCTCCCTGACCAGCTGGGGAACCTACTACAATACCCTGTTTGTTAAAAGAAATCATGTTTTGGACTGTGGTGCGTTTTTAAGGGTTGAGTGTAGGAGAGGCAGCTGCTAAATTCCAATTGAGTTACCTGCTGCACTTGGAATACATTCCTAAAGAACCTCCATAGCATCTACAAAATGATGCTTTTATATACAAGACTGACTGAGCTTTGTTAATAAAGTTATTAAATGTCATTGGTGTCATACTCATATAGGAGTACTTTGTAAAGCAAGGCTAAAGGAAATGGATATTTCCAAATCAGACTCATTTTCAAGCCTTCTTCACAACAAGGCCGGTTTGAATCTGATTGGTTGCAATATCCATTTTGCACCCTCCACTTCCTTGTCCCCATAGGTAATCTGCTCTTACCTTCTGGATCCTCACTGCTTTGTCGCTGTAACTTTCAAGTTCCCGGCGTAGCTTTTCATTCTCTTGCAGCAGAGCATCCATTCGAGCCATGTGTGTACCTGCTGCGTTGAAAGGTGCCATCTGCCCATAGTGCAGGTTTGGATCTGGCATCGGCCTGCAAGAAACAAATTGATGCTCATGTTTAGATATAAAAAACAGAAGCCTCAAAGCAATAATAAAGTGTTGTTTTAACATTAAATATAAAAATGATAGAGGTACTTGAATCCCTAGTGCAGCCGAAGACTGGTGGTTCCTAAAGCCTCAAATGAACCAACACGCTTAAGTGTACATTGGACACATTTTATAACACTTATTGAAAGATTAACTTTAGAGCTGAATGCGGGGCTTGTACAGTCTTGCACTCTCTCCACTACTGGAACATCTATCACTCTGAATCAGTATTCAGAAGCATCAGGCACACATCCAAAAATAATGCAATAACTTCTAAAAACCAATGCTAGATCATACAAGACAAGGTATTTCTACTACATCTTTACACAACACAGTATTCTGAATAATACAACCGGAATTTATATTGATCACGGGCAAAGTAAATCAATGAGTATAAGAATTTCCTGTAAACACTATCGATCTGGCTTATCTAGAATCTGCACCTTATGATCAATATGTAATTCCAGATTCCAGTGCCTGCAAGGAAGACATTAGGGTTAGGTGTGCTCTCTGAAGCCTGTCTCATGGACCATCCTTTTAGACTCCACAGCCTAGAACTAGGAATTCATGATGGGCTATCACAATGGAACTGGTATTTCCGTTAATGGATGTTGTTGCAGCCAAAGGGGTTACAAGAATTAACATGGGAACAGATTCTTTCATTGTGAGACTGGACATTTTTCTTAACCATTATCTTCCCCCACTGGCTTACGGAGTCACTTCCTGTCTCTGTCTATCTCATCCTGTGTGAACAATACAAAATTGTTGCAACCTAGCCAGACCTATGTTTATTGTCAGGGATCTCTTAAAAGTCAAACACATTAGAGTTAAAAGGGAATTTTGCACACCCCCTTTTGAGGCAGCTATTAATATTATGCCATACCTACTACGTGCATAACTACAACTCCATGTGCAAGACTGCAGGGAAGAAGTCTGCCTGCTAGTTATCTGCTCTTTCCTGAAATTCTTAACATACACTGTATGATGACGACTCATACAATAATGTTTATATGCACAGATAGCATGCAATGAAACTGTGTGCATCTTAGCTAGAAAATAAATGCTAGTGGTGGCAGACAATTGTCAGCATGCTAAATGCTTTTTGTAACAGTCAATTAACAGCCATCTAAGATTTTTTAAAGATCTTTGCTGTCCAAAGGAATTTGATAATAAAAATGAGTAAAGGTGTGAAACATCTAGCAATGTCAAGTATATGAATTGACCATACGAATTGTGACTTTGACCTTTTCTGTTGCATAGGTATTATAAACACTAATGGCTGCCAGAAAAAACCTAGACACAAAGTCTGTAAAAAAAAAGCTCCTCTACCACATATCACAGCGTTCTGAAGAGGCAACATAGTTATCGGTTACACATCTGTGCTCACCTGATTTCAGGCTGATGGTACATAGGAAGGTCTCCTGAATAGCATCTTTGCTCTGAAGCATAACCCCTGAGATTAGGGTCAGGTTGGTTGTAACTTGGGTACTCAGGAGGAGCATTCCTATATTGCATTCCGTCTTCCTGTTGTCCACGAGCAACTGAAAGCTGGTACTGCCTTGTAAGCTGGGGAAAGCTATGAGAGGAGGTCATAAGGTTCTGCGATTTAGCACCATTGCGTTCTAGAGACATCTGCAGCAACCTTTCACTCAAGGACCTAACATGACCATGCTTCAGCTCCATAAGTGACTGGTCTTGGCGTGTAGGAGCGTGTTCTACCTTCTGGATATGTTGCGCTGCATAGTACTGAGACAAGGCAGCTTTGGCTTCTTCATAGGTTGGAAGCTCCTCACCCTTATGGTGATACTCATAAGCTTTATACATAGGATTCTCCAGGTAGAAATGGTCACAATGATGCTCCTGCCCTTGAGGCTCCTGCCTTGTAGAAGGGCTACCCTGCATCTCCTCCTGTTCAAGGCTTTCCAAGGAAGATCTGGGGCTTCCACTGCCCCCTCCAGCCCGTAAGGCCTGTTGCTGGATGGCTAATAAGGTACGATTTTCACTCAGATTTCCATATCTCAGCTGCTCCTGGATGAGACGGTGAAGGACTGTTCCAGATGAATCCTCTGCAGTTCTCATCCTTACTCAAAAAATAAATAATCCCACCAAATGTTGATAAGCTATCAATAATGAACAATAATCCTTTCTCCAAATCTTCTTCTGATCTATGGAACTGCTGTGAAAAGCCTGTGAAGGAAAGGGAATACATTTTTAAGGATATTAAAAAAAAAAAAAAAAAAATGTGAAAGGATTAATTCATATAGACCTACCATCCCTGGTGGATCTAAGATATCCCTGATCGGCTTAAAGAAAGCAATTAACATTTCCTTCTTTATATTTTTTTCCCAAAAAAAATGCTTTACAAAAGGTGAAAAGGACCAGATAAGATCAGAGACTTCCTAGCCTATAGCTCAAGGCTGAAGGATCTTGATTATTAGTGAGTATTCAACTGAAATTGACATGAAAGGACTGACCTTGGTGGCACCTTGTTGTGGTTAATTGCACATACCTTTCTACTGCTCCTGTCCCTCAACTCCTGCTGTTTCACAGCAACCTGGAGAGGTAAGACTTTTGCCCTGTTTTGTTTTTAGGAGGAGGAGGAATGTATTAATGATTGGAATTTTTCCCTCCTCTTTCTGAGAAGATAAAGTCCAGTATTTCTCTGGTATGCCCCCCTGCAGCTTCTGTTTTGGAGCCCTCCCATTGAAAGCCAGATATTCCTAGTTGAAGTTGAAAAGAGATTCACATACTAATGTGGACTACAATGAGCCGCAGTTGTGGGAATCCTTCTCTAAGCTGTATATAGTCTGCATAAGCTACATTTTTATTTTTTTCTTTCCAAGCCATCCTTGCACGTTTGTCATGTAATCCAGATTTGTACTATAACCTTTGTACCACTATATTGCCATCATTTGGCAGCAGTGGGTAAAATATACACGATTTTCCACATTCTACAAATTGCAGCATACAACAATCTTTACAGGATGACTTTATTGCCCGCAAACCTGTGGCTTTCCTGCTCTAACGCACAAAGACTTTTTTTTTCTCCACGGCGTAGGAGATGCTACCACCTCACAAATATCTAAGACGTGACATCACCAGGCCCTTTGTGTTGCAATTGACATTCTTTGTGGATTGCAGCCCTGCCACAAGTGTTCAAAAGCTTGCGCTAAAAACAAGAATAACAAAACAAAAAAAAAACCCCACAAATTCCTCCGCCATTGGCAGGGGTGACCAAACACCTGCATATCTCTCCATTGAAGAATGCACCCTGCTTAACCCTATCCAGGCAGACTGAAAATAGAGCACGCCGAGTGACTAGTCTGTGTATTAAACCATGTCATAAACCTTTTACAAAGATAAAAGCTACATGGCCAGTCCTGTCCTGTTAACCAGTTAGCAGAGCCAATTCTAATACAGCATCAGGAATTCTAGATATATTTAATAAAGAAATGCATGAGATAGATGGATAGAAGAAATGCATGAGATAGATGGATAGATGGATAGGATAGAAGAAATGCATGAGATAGATAGATAGATAGATAGATAGATAGATAGATAGATAGATAGCATTATATATAGACACTGTTTTTTAAATACATACTTCCATTGAGTGACCATGAACACATAAAGAAACTTGCTGACATATGTTACCTAGGCTGTAGTCTTGACAAATGCATTAAAATGATACATTGTATCAATAAATAGAAATAGATTGTTACACAAATTAGGAATCTATTAGTAAATAGCAAAGCTAGCATATGTTCAGTAAGAAATGGGCTAATAATAATTGCATGTCACTGTATCATCACACGGCTACATATGATAGAAGAACACCATGGCTGCGATAATTTCACACTTATAAAATGTACCCAGTACACGTGCAGTGGGCATATAACAGATCGAGGTCCATGCACAGAATCTAATCCACAATGACCCTCAATTCTCCATCTGACAATGGTGCACAGACTGTTTAGTGTAATGCATGTGGTGCTGTATGAAGTGACAGCGGGCACTCACCAGGTCATAACCGATGTGTGCAGCAGATCGGGGTCCCAGCATGTGACAACGTCCTTGTGCAGTTCCTCAGAGTCGGGAGCAGGCTGTGTTCAGCCTGAGAGCTCAGAGTGGAATGACTGATCAGCGATCGCAGCGGCCAGGCTGCCTCAATAGCTTAGCTATGCCAGGAATGTGAGAGTTTCAGGCTCCCCCTGGGATGAAAGCAAAGCATACTAAACCTTCCTCTTGGCCCCGCCCCTCGCCCCGCCTCTCCCGGCTCCCAGCTCTCCGCCCTCGCTCTCTACAGGAGCTGCACGTAGCAGAAGCGGCCGCTGGGGGCAGTGTTACACCCCGCTGATGGCAGACAATGGCGCACAGCGAGTCCTATCGGCTTGATTCTCCGCAAATGTTAAATGAATGTGTGTTTCACAAAGGATTACACAAAGGATGCTATTTATCAATGTTTTCACCCAAGATTCTCACAACTTTCACCCAATTTAAAATAAATGAGATGCAAAAAAATGAATGATTTCAGGGTAAAAGTTATGTGAATCTTGAGTGAAAACATTAATAAAGAGACCTCAAGGAATAAATACATGAATATGGAGGTCTAAATGTCTCTGCTATAAAGGGCCCTACTGAACATTTTAAAAAATCATAACCTTGCTATCTAGAAAACATGCGTATCCAGGGGGTCCGATAGTGGTCTCCACCCAACACAACAGACTACAAAATAAAAAACAGGAGGTCGTTTTAGTTTTCATTTTGTCGACCCCAAAGAGAGAAGTAATTAGGACGTTCCAATAAAAGATGTATGACTGCAAAAGGTACAAAAATGGGCAAAAAAAATGAGAGTTCTGTCAGCTCATAAATATTCCATATGGTGTAACTAAGGCTAAGTTCACCGCACAATGCATCAGGAACGCGCATCAAGCGCGCACAAAAGTGCATGCTTTCACGTATGTTCACGAGGTGCCGAAAACACGGAACACGCTTGCAGTGCAGTGCGTTTGTTTACTAGTATTCGCACCCAAAATGCAGCCATGTTTTTATTCATGCACGTTCACACACATAGGAATGCACACAAATATACGGGCAAAAAACGAAGAACACATGCTGCAGAATTTGGAACTCATTGAAGTCAATGGGGACATGCGCCAAAAGTGGGAAACAAACAGCTGCGAATGCATGGGAACGTGCATCACTGCGATGTGTGTTCCTGCTACGCTATGATGTGAATGGGGACTAAGGTTATGTTCACACAGGTGTCAGCCTCTACCACCCTCAGTACAGTGATCTGCGGTGGATCTGTTTACTAGAGGCCGATGGAGCAGCAGCTGCCCAGCATTCAGGAGGCAATACTGCCGCCTCCTGAATGCAATTTTTTTTATTCCCTGTAGCCTTACCATGCTGCAATCACATACCCATTTTGCATTGGTCTCATTTGACATGCAGCACCACCTGTCAAAAGTGACATGGGTCAAGGGGTAAAATCGTAGATCAACTCAGTGGTTTTACCGCCCCTTGCCGTCCATGTTAACAAGGCCAAAAAGATCAAATACATGACAGTGTTGTCTGGTTGGATTCGTTGATGCATACAGGAGTGTCTCTGAGTTTATTGGTTATGACAACTTTGTCATGTGTTTTATCTTTTAAAGTACATGTAAAAAAATGTATTTGGAATATTTGGGGTTACAAATGCTGTAAAGTTTTTTTCCACCATTTATGTCTTGTGAGGTAGATATTCTTTCACCTCTAAACAGTATGAATAGACGAATCCCCACTGTGTTCTTTTGTTTCTGACAGTGGAGGGTGTGCCGCTGTCAAAATATTCAAACAGTAGCAGCAGCTGATTTCTACTGTCACTGTTCACCTGAAGAATTTCCATCCCTTTCCTTCGATTTTCTGATCAAAGGATGGCAGCGGGAAGGGTGCCATGGGGTACCCACTGTGCAGATGTCTGCTGGTTCATCAAGCCTGCCAAAATGTCTTCAATGTATGGCCAACTTTAAACAGTTGTCCCCATTGGATGATTTCTCCTCTATTACTGTTCTGGTGGCAACTTAATATTCTGGTTTTCCACTCACTTTCCTTCTCTGCGTCAATGGTGATCAGGACTAAGGATGAGCTCAGGTTTAGACAGAACCCGGGCGGACCTGAGCGCCTCAGAACCTGGAAGGATCTCCTCCGAACCTAGAAGGATCTCCTCCAAACCTGAAAGGATCTCCTCCGAACCTGAAAGGATCTCCTATGAACCTCCTATGAACGTAGAAAGATCTCCTCCAAACCTAGAAGGATCTCCTCCAAACCTAGAAGGAAGCTTGTTACACTGCCGCCCAATCATGTGCATGTGGGGTACAATTACACCATTGACCTTACATGGCTATATAATTTGATTACATTTACCTGCCATGGCCTTGTGGCCATTTAAGGTAAATTATGTCAGCAGAAGCATACCGCCCCTCCTTCTCCTAATCTGAGTGCCGCTGAACTGGGGATGGCATGAAGCTGATACCAAGTCCAATCCAGGTACTTATGCTAGCTGCACCTAAAAAAAGAAATACTGTATATTAAAAAATACAGAGCCTCATGCATTTGTGTCTTTTATATCTGCCTGCAGTTCAGCATTAAATGATTTCAACAGATCTTTACTTTAAACAAGTTCAGCTTTTTATTACACAGGATTTAGGGACCCAGAAGAAGGAGACATTTGTACCATACCAGGCACAATGATATTGTAATGTCGCTGTCTGTCTGTTCTATGGAATGTTCAGTCACATACAAGACGTCAGGAGCTCAGTTATCACATAGGAAGATTACATATATCACTGTCTATAAGACATACCATACCCTAAAGGCCAGACATAACACATACTGGATCTGCATACTATATATTATATATAGCGCATACATTCTACAAATATTTGGTATAAAATAGCCCTGACAGCTGTCCCGGCAACATTTTATTAACTTGAAAATAAGGATACAGCTCAAGTGTACAAAAATATTCTTGTGTGAGGAGCTGCATACATTGTCAACAGGAGAGTAGACTGGGAAGATGACCTCACTATACAACCTCATCTTCAAAAACGGCCTCCTGGTCTAAAGCATCAATTATTATATATAGTGGAGGCAAAGTATAAACCTATGCTTCATGGGTACTTGGT